TGTGTATATATATATATATATATATTTAGTGAATTTTCTTTCCTCTTTCTGGTAATTTATTTTACTCTAAGAACAGTCAGGGAGGACTGTTACTTCCAAACTTTTTAAAATAATGTGGGTCCTGTTGAGGCTTTCACCATAAGCTTGTGATTAGATGGTACCTTCTTCTTGGAGATTGTTTCATTGTGAGCTCTTGATGTTGGTTGTGGTGGTTGCCTTCTGCCATCCCTGACTGTAGGCTTTGCAGATTCTTTCCCAGCTGATGAGAAAGAGAAATGAATAGTGGTAACTCATCCCGCATAAATACGGTGTTACATCAGTCCTTCTCATACAGGTTATTGTCCTCAAATAACACAAAAATGCATGCAAAGGAGCTGATGTGATTAGAAGGGGACAGCAGTTGTTCCAAGTACAGTTACAGGTCTGTCCGACAGTTTTGTGCTTAGCTCTCTCAGCCACTTCTTTGGAAAAGCTATCCTGAGGGCATGAATGGTTGCTCAAGTTTTGTTCTATTTGATGTGGTTGTAAGTATTGATTATTCCATGGAAATGAGTTTGTGTGACTGGTTTATTCTTTTGCTGTTTCTCTGGATCTTACAGTTGATGTTTGCACATAGCAAAAGCATTGTCAAGAGTTACGTGAGGTACTCGAATAGCCATAATTCTTAGATCCTTCTTTTTGACTTTCTGCCCACCTTTGCTCCTATGTCCTGCATTGAATTGACTCATGGGCATAACTTCTCAGTTTCCACATCCATTGTAGAGTTATGCTGAACACTGGTTTCAAAATGCCAGGGTGTATGTTCAGCATCCCAAGTCTTGTTTAGCCCATTGTGTTGCTAACAATGAACTGCTCAGACACTTTTTTTCCCAAAAAAATATTTTGCTACCTGCATCTTATACCAACTGCTTCCAAAAATATGGGTGGTCATATTGGATTGTGGATTTTGTTATTTATTTACTTATTTAATTAATTTTTATTTGGTGGATGTTTTATAACACCTTAAATAGTGAAAAAACATGAGAGATATTTGTGATGTTCTAGGTCTGAAGACTTGCGACGTGAATTTGGTCGTTATGGGCCTATAGTTGATGTATATGTTCCACTTGACTTCTACACTCGTCGTCCCAGAGGATTTGCTTATGTTCAATATCCTTTCTTCAGATGGCTGATTAGTGAGGGGTGTTGAAGTTTGAAATTCAAGTTTGTGTAAGAGGTAACAAATTTAAATGAAAAAGCAGTTTACTTTTGTGTTATATCTAATAAGTGTCTTATTGTGGTGTTTTGTTATTTTTTAAGATTAACTTATCTCAACTGTTCTTTGCCTTTTTGCAAAACTTAAATCAAGTCCAGTATTATAAAAGCTTGCTTATGTCACTGAAATTAATACTATATGATTTAAAAGAAAATTTATCACTGACTCAAAAATTGTCTAGCACGTTTTTCTTATCACTGGTATGTAAGTAAACTTGTGCTTAGCAAACTGTGGCTGGTATTCATTGTTAATTTAACAAATGGAAACTGGAATCACTTGATCAAAATCAGATTGTATAAAAAAATGAGGTGAACTTCTTTCTTTAATATTGTCCCCTAATTTACTGTCCTCTGTTGTTGCCTCAGAGTGTAAAGCTGTACAGTAATGGCGACCCCAAAGAGAAAGCATGAAAGAACCTTTAGAGTAGAGTTCAAGAATTAAGGCAAGTAGACAAGCCAAAGACCTCTTAAGGATCAGGCTTGAAGAGAAGGGAGAGTTTGGGAAAAGAAAAAATAAAGAAAAGCTGGAAGAAGGACAAGCCATAATGGGAGAGAAAGCTTCGCTTTATCTACAAAAGGGGGAAAAGGTTGTTTTTCAAAGTAAAAGATAAAGCCATCTGTCATTTTTGGCCAAGCATCTCATGACAAGTCCTTCTGACAAGCACTTAAAGAGTTAAAGGTCAAGATGAAGTTGAATGGTGGCCAAGATTAAAGGAGTCATACCTGATGTATCCTACAGAGTAACAGTTTCTCTTCTGTTTGTCACGTAAGCAGTGATTTGGTGAATGATTCTGGGTTAGTCCATTGACAAAACCTGTGCTATTTCTCTTGTGAGTGCTACTGTAACTGTGGTCTTGAATGAAAGTGCTTCGTTCTTGGTTTATCCAGATATATACCTACAGCATGAGTTTATTTTCTGCATAGGTTATGTTGATGATGAACTGAGTTGCTCCAAGGAGAAGGTCAATTTGTTCTTTCAGGCCACGCAGCTGGAAGAAGGTGTGTGAGTTACAGCAGTGGCCAGTCTCGTGGATTAACGTTAGTCGTGTCTGTGTTACTGAGCGGCTGACCTGACAGTGCAGGGGGCTTAGTGTACGCTTCTGTCTCAGACTCTTGAAGGTCTGTGTACATGTCCATGGCATTACATAATTTGAACTTAAAATCAGTTGTTGAAAAAAAGGAAAGCTTTATCCCAATTCTAAAATTAATAAGTGCATGTTAATTTTTGCTGTTGATATGCCTAACGTAATTTAAGCACTAGGGTTTAATGTTAGTAAAGTTGAGATACTGGAGGGAACTGGATGAACATTAACAAATGTATTTTTAAAAGGATACCAGGGGTTTTTTTCCTTGCATAAGTACAAGTTGGAGAAGAAAAAAGTTAAAAGTATTGCAGAGCAACTGCTCACTGATGGATAAGCTTATGGTTATATTATGAGATTTTAATTTTATTATAGGAGTTCTCAGCTATTTACTAGTGTGTACTGTAACATGACCGAAAGAATTCAAAACCAAAAACACTTGTAAAATTAGAAAATAACTTTTTTTTTTATTTTAAATACCAAATCTGTAAACTACTCAAATTCCCAAGTACCTTAACACTCACCACATTTGAAGATGTCCGTGATGCAGAGGATGCTCTCCATAATTTGGATCGAAAGTGGATTTGTGGTCGGCAAATAGAAATCCAGTTTGCACAGGGGGATCGAAAGAGTAAGTGCCTTGAGTGTATTTCATCAGACTATTATTTTAGCCTTGGTGTTTAATGCCAGGCAACATTACACGTGTTATTAATTGTTGTTTCATAATTGAAATACCATAACATTTAAAATAGTAATTATAATATTATATTAATAAGATACAGATGAGTGATAGTGTAACTGCTCACCACCCACTGACCTAGGCAATACAACAGACTAATAAGTTCATCCATTCTTCTTAATTATTTTAATAATGAAGCTACAGAGTGAATGTGCGTTGTTGTACTGGTGGGGGTTTACTTTTAGTATCAAGCTCCTCTTTGTGTGGCATCCATTGCTGTTTCTGTGTAAGTTGTCTTTTAATCATTAAAGAAGCTGTGGATCAGGTGTAATGGGTGGTGCTGTGTAGCCAAGAAAATGGGTGTTTAATGAATTCCATGTTAGCTTTCACTTTGGGGGTAAATTCAGGAATGTTAGAATGTTTCAGTCACGGGTTTGGCCTGTCATACCAGTTTCCAGGTGGCCTGAAATCACCTTAGCCACTTTGTGTTCTGGTTTTATGGAGCATTAGTCCTTTCTTACTGGTTTTTCGGTTGTTTGTTTGTTTGTTTGTTTGTTTTTTTCCCCTGCTAGATTTATAATGCCCTCAAGGCTGTATTAATTTTTGTCCAGTGGTTAAAGCAGCAAAAATCAAATGGCATACAGCAATGTCTCATCTGTCCTTTTCATAAACATGTCTGCTAGAGTAATGAATTAGGCTTTCTGCTAAATACCAAATGTATGGATTAGTAGTGTCACTAAAGGGAAAATGGGGCGTCATTTTTTAACCTAAAATGTTAAATATTGCTATTTTTTACAGCACCAAATCAAATGAAAGCCAAGGAAGGGAGAAACCTATACAGTTCTTCTCGTTATGATGACTATGACAGATATAGGCGATCTAGAAGTCGGAGTTACGAAAGGAGACGATCTAGAAGTCGTTCTTTTGATTACAGCTATAGAAGATCGTATAGTCCCAGAAAGTAAGTGTAGCATGTGTTTGGCTTCTGCCTCGCAGCAGTCTGTTGGAGGAGAAGCTCCACATTGACTATTTAATTGTTAAAATTTTGAATAATCTTTTTCTATTGTGGGAGTTGTGTATCTTGCATGCTACATCAGATCAGAAATATTGAATAAGTTATTCTGTGCTTCTTTGAAGAATAATTAAAAGCAAATGCACAGTTTGAAAAACGATTAAGAATTTGTATGCATATGTAGGTATTTGTCACAGTTTACTTTTTCTGATGTACCTTTTTAGCAGTAGACCTACTGGAAGACCTCGTCGTAGCAGAAGCCATTCGGACAATGATAGGTAAAATACTTTTTACACTCTTTAAACTGAAATCTAGATCACTGTATTCCTTTAACTATAGGTTAAAAAAAATTCTCCTACAAAAAATGGTAAACAATTTTTAATGTACTAGATGTCTAAGAATAGTGTTTTTACATTCAAATCTCCTCTCTCCCCTTTATTCTGATAGGTTCAAACACCGCAATCGATCTTTTTCAAGATCTAAGTCCAATTCAAGATCACGATCCAAGTCACAGCCCAAGAAAGAAATGAAGGCTAAATCACGGTCTAGGTCTGCATCTCACACCAAATCTAGAGGCACCTCTAAAACAGATTCTAAAACACACTATAAGTCCAGCTCAAGATATGAAAAGGAGTCGAGAAAAAAAGAACCAGCTAGATCCAAATCACAGTCAAGATCACATTCTAGATCTAGGTCAAAATCCAGATCAAGGTCATGGACTAGTCCCAAGTCCAGTGGCCACTAACAGTGTATCCATGTTGTTTTTAGGCATGTAAGATTCATTTACACACAGTTCAGTTTACTTAAATTATCAGGAATATGATGTTGCAACAGTGCTAAAAAATATTTTCTTTGTCAGTTTTCCCTGTAGCCGACAATGGTTAAAATTAAAACAATGTTGGGAAGCCACTGAGAGGGAGTGAGAGGGAGAGAATGTCCACTTGGGTAAATGTCACGGGCAGCTACTGATTTGGTTGTGGTGTCTCTATGTATATTTTTGTGAAGATTTGCATCTTTAATGCGTAGATATTGGTGATGACTTGATTGATCGTAACTTGCAACATTGTCCTATTAAAAGTGTCATACCCGTAGAGAAATTGGTACCAGTTTGTGCTGAACAGTTAAACCAACTGTTTAACTTGTTCTTTAATGCTAAACTTTGTGATGAAACGGAAAACTGGACAGCTGTAGAGCAACACTGACTGCTGTGAAATGCAGACTGGCAATTCTATGTTTCCATTGTTCAAAGGCAGATTTCTGTGTTCTCCGTGCCCACTGACACAAGTAGATCGGTAAATGGAGCTCTATGGAGAGATATTTCTGAGATTTCTCGTTAATGCTGCCATCCAGAGAGATGGTACTAACATTGCATGTACTACATGGGGAGAGAGTTGGTCTTGGAAGCTCGTTCAGAGATTGTGCAGTGTCGTGACTTGTCAGGATAGAGGCTTCACTGCTTTTGACCTGGCTGCTAGTACTAAATGTGCGAGGAAAAGAAAAACACCTTGAAATAGAAAATTAAATTCAGATTTCAGCAAATGGCAGAGCAACTAAATATTAGGTTGTGTGTACATTTTATGCAGTTTTTTGTATCTATTCTAAATTTTAGTGAGCAGTTAACCATAAAATTGCTTAGTTTTCCTGCTGTTAGATACAAGTAGATTGTTTCGAGTTGTGTGTGTACAGTATATAAGAACTAAACTTTTATGCCAATGACTCTTGTGGTTAGTTGGTGTATTCATAGGTATAAAACTGTAGCCATCTCTCTTCTTGAGTAACAAAGGCTTGCTTTTACACATCAAAAAGTATTCGGTCAAGCAAGTCTTGAATCACTTCTTCCTCCGAATGGATAGTGGTTTGGTTACAAGATTTCATTTTACTTAAGAACAAATGTTTGAAGTTGGATATGAACAAGAGCTGCATCTCTAGCTATTTAGTTTATCACTAATACAGTATATTTAGTAAATTGAATGTGAAAAATAACAAAACCAGTGTGTAATCTTACCAGTATTTCTCTAGAAGGCAAGATACTTTGTTATGAAAATGGCTTTTGGCGTTGTTTTTTTTCTATTTACCTCCAAAAGCCAGCATCAAACACCTAGTGTTCCTTGCTGTTGTATGTAGTAGCATATAAAGGCGTTGATTTCAAAAAGTTCCTTTTTAGAGAAATGTTTTAGGTTTTGGTTTTAGTGTTTTCAGCAGGGCCTTTAAAGAAACGCAGATGGCTTTTAAATATTGGCGGTGGAACGTGCTTAGGGGGTTGATTCTAGAATCTTTGTACATTTGATAGTCTTTCTAACTTTTTCTTTACTGTTTGCAGTTAATGTTCATGTTCTGCTATGCAATCATTTATATGCACGTTCCTTTAATTTTGTAGACTTTCCTGGATGTATAGTTTAAAAACAGCAAAAAGTCTATTTAAAACTGTAGCAGTAGCGTGCAGCTCTAGCAGAGGAAAGTTGTGGGATTAAACTTTGTATTTCCTTTCTTATAGAGGCTTCTAAAAAGGTATTTTTATATGTTCTTTTTAACGAATATTGTGTACTACCTTTAAAACATCAATGTTTTGATCAAAATAACTAAAGACCCAGCTTATTTTCTGCTTGCTGTAAATTTAGCAAACATGCTGTAATAAAAAAATGAAGGAAATACTGATCCACTGGAATTATTGTAGCTTTAGAATTTGACTCCAGAGCATGGTCAGGAATAGAGCTGTGCACCCCTTAGGGAGTAAAATCCTTACTATGGTATTTCAGTAAAGTCAGGAATTTATCCTTTAATGTCTGAATAAATATAATTTCACATTTTTAAAGGGGTACTAGACAAAATAAGAATGATAAGTGTATGTTTAATATATTGAAATTTCTTTTCCTTTAAACTTTCGTTATTGCTGGATGGACTTCCGTGTGTCAGATATTATTAGCCAGGTTATGAACTGCTTAAAATAAGCACTTGAAGATTCATATAGAACCAAATTTCTAATATCACCTTATCAATCTATATTGCCATATCAAAAATTGCACCAGCACTGGTTCTCTAGAAGGTGGCAAAACTTTGCTGATCACATTTAAAATTCAAGCTGCCTCCTGGCACTTGCGGTATTTACAACTGGTTCTTCTTATGCCACTGAATGAAAAAATTCCGAAAAGCACTTAACTGCTGTGATAAACCCACTCTTACACTTCGTGAGTGGAGCTGCAGTTACCATGTAGCTGTCCATAAAAATGGCTTGCCAGCAGAAACCCCCACCCGTTTTCAGCTTTCTTAAGGAATATAGTCTTCAAGACTCAAATCCTGCTTAAAAGCAGCCCACCTGACTGTGTCGTGGGAAAGCGTGCTTGTGTTTTTGTCAGCAGCCTGCAAGGGTTTGCTGTAACCAATGTTTGCCTTAGTCCAGCCAGAATGACAGCTGGATGGGTGGGGAGGAGGGAGGAGAGCATCTTTGTGTCCAGGCTGAGGTTCTAATTGGAGACTGCAGAGTAACAGGAACTATACCTGAAGTATATTGCCAGCATGTCCTTATATTGTGTGCCTCAACATTTATGTATAGCACAGTTTATAAACTTTTTTTGTCTTGAAAATCCAATTCATTGCAAGTATAATGTAGTATCTGCCAGTTCTGATGGTTCTTTCTTTCTCTCCCAGAGGTAGGACTAAACTTTGACTTGACTTGTGTATATGAACAAGCCAGAAAAGCCGAACACAAACCCACGATGTTTCAAGAGTGCATGAATAAAGATGTTGTCCTAGTTCTTGCTCCCATGGAAAAATTGTGAAGAAGCTGTTCTGTGGGCCTTTCAGTTGGGGACGAGTTAGCAGGATGTGGCCAAAAGGGCAGGGAATGTTTATGCATTCATGCAAGTCAAGCCACAGCCCATCTAGATAACATCTCCCTTCCTTGATGCAGGTATCCTAGTCCTGCTCTAAAAAAAAAAAAAAAAAAAAAAAAAGGCAGTAGCCTGTCTTGTGCAAGCTACCTGCAGGTTATGCACAGCTGGAATGCAAGAACATACGCAGGCTACAAAAGATCATGTGTAGGCATCTTTCTTTTGGAGTCTCAAGAACGGTGGGAATTCTGTTTTTTCTGTGGTAAACTAGATTTTGTCATTCCTGCAAAAATTTATAGAATTGAAGTAGTGTGTAAAAATTCTGCTGAAAACTAATGGCTGTGCTCCAAAGTATCTGCAGCGTATTGATTTATCTCAGCAGTAACAGAAGGCTCTGTTGGAACTTCTTTTTCACCAAAAGTCCATGCACCCAACTGATTATTAAAAATCTTTAAATTTAGTTGTTGAGTAGCTGGGTGTTGAAATTAGGGACTATAATAGGCTGGTCTCTGAAAGCTAAATGTTATCCTTTCTATGTCTTTTAAAGATGTTTAAATGTACAATATAATGGCTTTATTCAAAGTGGAAATGTTATTTTGAGCTCTCTTCTTGGAAAGAGCCTTTTTTTTTTTTTCTTTCTGTTTAGTCCAGGGAAATAGCTTGAAATATGTTCAGAGAAGGGCAATTGGATTGATATACATCGCAGCACTGCTACTTGATTTTTTGGCAGGGATGTTGCAGATTAACATTTTGAAGTACAAAGGGATAAATTTACACATTTTTAGGACATAATCACACAATAATTGCTGGTTTTCTCCATTTATCTTGTAACTTGCTTAAAGAGTCTGTAGTCCATTGCTGTAATATTTGTCTGAAGATGCTCTTACTGATGAGACTATTAGAGGAAGGGAAGACTATGTACCCTGTAGTGTTTGATCAAAAGATGCTGATGTTTTATTCATACACATCCTTTCTTCTTGAGTTTTGTGTTCCATCTGTGCAAATAACCCTGTGAATTGGGAATAAAATGTACAAGTTTTGACTATAACTTGAGAGCACCTTCTGACTTAATTAATACAGCCGTAGCTTGCTGCAGATTGATCACGAAGGACTGAATGCCTGAGAATTTCCCTCTAGCCCTGAGCACCGAGCCAGCGACCCCCTCCTCAGAGGTAGCAGAGTGTGATCACAACTGGACTGGGCTGAGCTGCAGCTATGCAGACTGGCTTGTCTCGCAGTCCAGCTTGCTTCGGCAGAGCCTGACAGCCCTGGTAGCAGGCTTTGGGTTGCTTTTGTGATTAACATTAGTGTTAATTTTCCAGCCCCTGTGTTCACAAATCACAAGGCATGAATGAGGGTTCAAGAAACCTCCTTCAGTGTGAAGTGAAACAAACATGTGCCTGGCGCTCTCAGGTTGCTGGTGCTTACTGTTTATCTGGTTTCTTCCCAGTGAAGGACACAAAAAGGGGCATTTAAATACATTAATTGTGTTCTGAACTGTCAGAGCTTTAGAGAACTCCTCGAGCTCCCAAAATGATGTGATCCCACTTTTCCATTACCATCTTAAAATAGTCAGATGCTTTTAGGGGATGAAAAGTTTATTTAATTTTTTTTTCCAATTTGTACATATACCATTAGTAAGTAACAATTTGAAGTTGCATATACACAATTGTAACTGGGGTACTGCTCATACACTGGTGAAGGTCCAGGTCACAGACATTAAGTTTAAAGACTGCCAATTCTATCTTATAGGGAGCAATAGATTTGTAAACATTCAACCAGCTGCCAATGAATCATTTTGAATGTACAGAAAGACGTCTCAAAGAACATTTCACCATCTGCAACACTCCCTTTCAAGTTAAAGCACTTTTTTAGTGATTGTGTATTCTTAAATAACCTTGGGTGTGTTCTCACAGTTCAGCTGGTTCTATTCCAGGACCAACTGCACTGTGACAGCACCAGAAGCTGCACGCTGGCAACTGCCCCTCCCCATTCCAAATTCCCATATCCTAGCCAACACTGGAACAAGGTTAACATCATCAGAGCATTGATTCATTTTGGAACAGACACATGGTTACAATCAGTTTCATCAAGCACCTGATCTGGGCTCTTTGCATTTCTTGTGAAACATCCAAGTTGATTTTCAACACCTTAGTCGTAGCATGTTTTGATCACTACACACCACTCCTATACATTCAGAACATGAGTATCTTTTAACTTCAGCAGCTTTTTTTAGGTTTTTTTATTTTATTAAAAAATTCTAAATATGCCTCTTTTGCACTGAGTTTACTTTTAAAATGAGCTCACAACCAAGCAAAACGTGCATATTCACTGTACGTTAAGTGCAAGGGCACAGCCACAATTGTCTTTTTTTTTTAAACAAAATATTTTTTTTTAAATCAGGCCATGTACTCAACATGGTCATCTTACATTCAGCAGTTTTGTACTAAAAATACTTCTGTGCAGGAAAGCCCAGCATAAATTTACATATGCTACAAAGTTTTACATTTATTTACATGGCTCTGTCTTCCTTATGAAAACATTTTAATACCTGCCACAAGCTACTGTAACTTAAAACGATCATTACAGGGTAACCAATTTAAGACCACTCTAAGTAACTACTCCACCTTTTTCACAACTTTAAAAACATAATAAAAACGTAGATCTCATCAGTGCAATGGGAATACAAAGGATTTTTTAAGTTTTTTGGCAGTCATCTGGCAATGAAACATCATTAGTTGGCACAGTCTGACTTGTTGAGATTCCAATGAAGTGTTATTGCTAGAGCTGGAGAGACCGCGACAGATCTACCTGATCTGTTCTTCCACCCTTTCAAGAACATGCGCCACTCTGTTTCCCAGATCTCCATTTTAGTCACAGGCTTGAAACGCTTGTGCACCAACTGAAGAGTGCCCAAGAAAGCTCACAGGTATAAACCAGAAGAATGACCTGTGTTTTACCTCGTGCCTGGGTGGAGGTCTCTTCTACTTGGCCAGTCTGCTCTGCAGAGTTTTTATTTAACTACCTAATTTTACACAAGTTTGAAAAGCAGCAAAGTACCTCACTAAGGCTTTCAGTGCATTTTTTTTTTTTCCAGTTAATGCTGCATTAAGTTAGGTAAAAGTTGGTTTTCTAACACCATACCAAGAAGTCACAACACCGATTTTGGGAGACAGTCCCATTTACTCTTACAGTAAATACAGTAAATGGTGACTGTTCGGGATTTGATTACACTGATTATAGAGAAAATACCTATTTCACAGTGAACACAGCACACAACTTTTGAGGTAAAACATCAGGGGAATGTGAACTTCCACCCCCTTCTCTTCCAAGTGACTAACTACATGCAGCAAGAACATCTAGTCCTATACACCTGTGCATCTGCAGTTAGGAATAACAATTCTCAAATTTGAAACCCTGTAAATTTAAATAACTCCTAAAATTGGAAAAGTTACATCTCAAGCCTGGACTTTAAGTAATGTTTTCAGCTGAAATGTCATTATTTCTTTATCAGAAGGTTTAAAAGAAACAGGTACCCAGTGACTTGGTGGCTTAGGAAGAACACTTGGTGAGGGTGGCTCGCTAAATTTTGCTCCAGCATAGTTCTGATTGGTTTGAGGTGCAAAAAACAGATTGCGATTTGATAAAGTAGGACTCCAATTTTGATTACTGGGGAAATTAACATTGTTCTTTCCCCCTTTTTGCATGGCCTGCCATGCACCAGATGATGAGTTGCATCCATGTCCTCTTTCTTTCTTCATACAGGTCTTCATCTGTGAATTCTGGTCTTTATTCTTCTGCCTGTTTTTAAGTTGTTGATGGTTCTTGGTGATATTTCTAGATTGGGGAACTGGAATGTTGAATCTTTCTCCACCACCCATCTTCAACTTAAATGTCACCTTTAAGAACAGGGGAAAATGTCAGTGGAGTTTGCATATTTTTTTAAACAGAAAATACTTCAGAGAATTATTAGATTCTAAAGCAAGAGGACTGAAATCAATCTTAACTAAAACTTTTATCAACTGAAAGCAGTTTTTTCTTTTTAAACAGAAAATACTTCAGAGAATTATTAGATTCTAAAGCAAGAGGACTGAAATCAATCTTAACTTTTATCAACTGAAAGCAGTGTTTTTTCTCCTTTACTGGATGCCACTTCAATACTACCTAAGAACTGAGCTGACACACTCATGAGAACTAAATTATAACACAGCGTGTCTTTGAGTGAGAGATTACTGACTCTGCAATGGCTTAACAATTTTGCTGCTGCTAGTTGACCAGCACATCATATACTAATCCATCCTTTAGGAACTGTACCCCAGTCCCCTTAGCAACAGTTACAGCTTTGGCTACCTAGCTATGAAAACACTGGTCCTCCTGGCAGCCCAGCTACTGAATATGCCAACTCTTCTCCTCAGCAAGAGCTGTTACTGGAAGAACATGAAAGACATGTTGCTTGCAAAATACAGTGCCAAATGTGAGGTGTTAGTATTTAATCCTGAAGACATTTAAACCAAGCTCGTTACACCTAAAGATCTAGGCAAAGATTGTGCTGATAAAGCCACTCCCCAGCCTTTCTGATAAGTCCAAGAATTACTCTGATAAACCCAAAGTGAACTGAAAAAACCTCAAATGGAAAGCAGCCATTTGCAACTAAACTTCCAAAGCAGACAGCCAGATACTATCACACAGTACTTGGCAGCTGTGCTGACTCTCCTACAGGATACAATTCCCCTCCCACCCCTATTTACCTTTCAGTCGTCTTCTCAGATTCCACACTCTCCAACTCTTGCCCCCTTTCTTGCTTCCAAGCCTGAAAAAGTAGGTGCTGCCTTTTGCTGGACTCCTTCCTTTGGCTAGGAATAGAAGTTTTCATGGGCTGATCTGCTGTATTCAGCCAGGTAGCCGAGCCCAACATCGGATTCTCGGCACAGAAGCTCCAAAGGAGAAGTCCCACTGCATAAATAAGAAAGAAGTTTGAACTCAGGTTAAGAAAACAATTGTTTCCCTTTCAAATATAAAAAAAGTATCAAAATATGCTGAATTCAGAGAATTACTCAAGTAAGTCTCTTGTTAAAGATTACAATGCACTTCGAACT